CAGCCTCTGCTGTCACCCCGCTCGCCAGCAGCTCCCAGTCCATCCACCCATCCCTCCGTCCATCCATCCACCCGGACGCGCAACATCGCTTTAATTGCGCGCTGCCGCCTGTTTACTCCCCGGAGTGCGGAGAAGGGTGAAATATTCACTGTGGCACCAGGGGAGATTTTGAGCCGGGCGGAGGCGATGGGATCTGACACCCGCTCTCTTCCCGTCACCTCCTCTTTTCACTGCGACCCCTCAAGCTCAGGGCTCGGCCCCATCCCCGTGTGCTGCCAGCTCCCCCCTCAGCCGAGCCCCCTCCCCAGGGCAGGCACCAGAGCCAGGAGTCGGGCGAGGAAGGAGTTAAAGGCAGGAGCCAGAGCAGAGTTTGCTGCAAGTTTGGAGCAGCTCGGATGCTTTCTCGCTGTCGTGGTGCTCATTAGAGCTGACAGGTCTCCCCTCGTGATGCAGACGCTCTCCGCTGGCACAGCGGGAGCTCCACGCTGAAAACTTTATAATTGGTAGCTCTGGTGGCAGGTTCTCCTCCATGCACACGCAGCTTTCTGCTCCCTTTTCAGCCTTTTTTTTTTCCTCCCCCTTCCTTTCCCTCCCCTCTTGAAGCCCCAGTAATTGTTTTCAACCTTTCGTTTTAGCAAGGGCTGGGGAGCAGGATGCGATCGCGCGGCTTCGCAGCCTTTTGCTGTGTCCCCCCCACTCCACAAGCCCCCGTGATTGCAACTCCAGAGGCTCCCAAGGCCACTGCACACCGTGGCCTGCTGGCCCCTTGGGCCGCGCAGCATCGCCCGCACTGATACCCCAGTGATGGGCACAAACCACTTCGAGCTCCTGCCAGCCCCTGCCACGCTGCCACAGGGGTCTCGGCGAGCGACCCTTTAACAGAGCCCTCTGCCCTGTCCTGCTTTCCTCGTAGACCGCTTTCAAGTCCCCAGATGAAACCCCTCCGCTTCCTCCCATCTTCCCCCCCTCCCTTCTCTATTAACCGAATTACGCACGACGCGTCGGGGAGTCGGAGACGCTGGGAAGGGCGCTATTTAAAGAACTGCCTTTCCAAAAATAGCACCCCGAAGCTGGGCTCCCAAGACCACGCTCAGCCACCAAAATAAGTGGCCTGATTTCCAAAAAGCCCAGCAGCCCTGCAGGCACCAGGGCTGGGGCACAGCTCAGGTCCTGCCTGTGGGCATGTACCCCCCTCCCTGGCAGCACGTGTGTTCCAGTGGCATCTCCCTGCACCCACGGGGACACTGTGGCTTATCCCTTCCTCCAGCCCCCACTGCAACTGGGCAGGGATGCTGGGATAGTGGGGGAAACCAGTCTGATGGTCTCCATCTCCACCAGGATGCAGCCCGGGGCCACCACTCCTCTTCTTGGGGAACGATGCTTAAAATGAGGTCCCGGGGCAGCTGGTGATCTCACTGTGGTCCCCAACCTTGCGAATCCCCCTCCTGCAGAGAGCAGCCAGGACACGGCGTGCCGAGTTGGAAAGGAGAGGGCTTTTTAAAGCCGTGTCCTTCGAGGCTGTGGCGGTACCCACCTGTATTTCCAGCTGCTGTACCACTTGCATCTGGACTCGACACTGGGCCGTGCTTCGGTCGTCAAGTGCATGTTCTGTGTTGAGGTGTCTGGGGAGGAGAACACGGCGGTTTATGCCTGGACGTGCCCAAAACACGGCCCCTCCGCTAGGACCACACCTGGGATCAGCCCCAACCTGCTGCGCCACGGCAACGCCCGGGGAGGCCCGTGAGGCAGGGAAGGGTGGCGTGCACAAGG